CTTCGATTGCCCAGTGCAATTAATCGTTTAATGACGTGTTAACCGTGGCTTTGCGCTAATTAATGGACGGATCGTCGTGTTATCTCTAAAGTATTGGAAGCAATTCATGATCGTTCAACGGATTAAGCAAAGTCGAGCGCAACCGTTGCTCAATGTTTAGAGCTGATCATGCTTGCTATATTTTGTATTGTGCATAGAAAGGATGTAGTTTTATTAACTTATTTCAATGGTACAAGTTGAAAAAATTGAGAACAAATTTAACGACTTAGATAACCTCGAATAGAAGGAAAACCATCCGGAACCTTATTAATAATAAGGGAACCATGTTAAACTGTGTTTTATGTGCTTCAAACTCTATGACTCTAAGTGAGGAAGGCATTGGAACTTGGCGCTCGAAATAAACCTTCCGGTTCAAGTTAAGACAAGTTTAGACTTGCAATGTTTGATTGGGGATTTCGGAGGACTTCGTGTCATTTTCCAAAAATTGCTGTTGAATGGGAGCAAGAACTAAGTTGAAAAATTTGCTTTTAAGTGAGGAAGACTTGAAACTTGCCGCACAAAAAAAACCTTCCGGTCCAAGTTAAGTCAAGTGTGGACTTGCAGTGTTTGATTGGGGATTTCAGAGGATTTTGTGTCATTTTCCAAAAATTGCGCTTGAATGGGAGCAAGAACTAAGTTGAAAACTTGCCTTTAAGTGAGGAAGACTTGAAACTTGCCGCACAAAAAAAACCTTCCGGTCTAAGTTAAGACAAGTTTGGACTTGCAATGTTTGATTGGGCATTTCGGAGGATTTCGTGTCATTTTTCAAAAATTGCTCTTGAATGGGAGCAAGAACTAAGTTAAAAAAGTTGACTTCAAGTGAGGAAGACTTGAAACTTGCCGCACGAAAAAAACCTTACGGTCCAAGTTGAGTCAAGTTTGGACTTGCAGTGTTTCATTGAGGATTTCAGAGGATTTTGTGTCATTTTCCAAACATTGCTCTTGAACGGGAGCAAGAACTAAGTTGAAAAACTTGCCTTTAAGTGAGGAAGACCTGAAACTTGCCGCACAAAATAAACCTTCCATTCCAAGTTAACTCAAGTTTGGACTTGCAGTGTTTCATTGAGGATTTCGTGTCATTTTCCAAAAATTGCTCTTGAATGGGAGCAAGAACTAAGTTGAAAAAGTTGACTTTAAGTGAGAAAGACTTGAAACTTGCCGCACAAAAAAAACCTTCCATTCCAAGTTAAGTCAAGTTTGGACTTGCAGTGTTTGATTGGGGATTTCAGAGGATTTTGTGTCATTTTCCAAAAATTGCGCTTGAATGGGAGCAAGAACTAAGTTGAAAAACGTGCCTTTAGGTGAGGAAGGCTTGAAACTTGCCGCACAAAAAAAACCTTCCGGTCCAAGTTAACTCAAGTTTGGACTTGCAGTGTTTCATTGAGGATTTCAGAGGATTTCGTGTCATTTTCCAAAAATTGCTCTTGAACGGGAGCAAGAACTAAGTTGAAAAACTTGCCTTTAAGTGAAGAAGACTTGAAACTTGCGGCACAAAAAAACCTTCCGGTCCAAGTTGAGTCAAGTTTGGACTTGCAATGTTTGATTGGGGATTTTAGAGGATTTTGTGTCACTTTCCAAAAATTGCTCTTGAATGGGAGCAAGAACTAAGTTGAAAACTTGCCTTTAAGTGAGGAAGACTTGAAATTGTCGCACAAAAAAAACCTTCCGGTCCAAGTTAAGGCAGGTATGGACTTGCAATGTTTGATTGCAATTTTTCAAAAATTGCTTTTGAATGGGACCTAGAACTAAGTTGAAAAACTTGACCTTAAATTGAGGAAGACAGACATTGAAGGAAGTGTTATCACGGGTGCTACTGGTTAGGAGAATGGTGGAGTTTTGCCAAACCGTTGAGCTTAAACCCACATCACACAGAACCCCGGTAGTGGCAGAACGTTGAGAGTAAATCCCGGTTAGAACCAAAGACTTGAGGTTGGCCCATTTCGAGCCAAAAAATGCCGTTTTATTAGCACCATCCGTGCGATGTTTGCACTTGGGGAATATCCACAGACCCACAGTTCAGTTACCCGGTGCTAATTGTTTACCGATTCTCTTCTAGTGCCTAATGCAGAATGCCGGACAGTTCGGCCAAGGAGCTGCCAGTGCCCACCCGCCGACGCAGTTCGTGCCATCAGAACATTCGGTAGGTACCCACGAACTTACTCGATTTATTGGTACCGGTACCAATTTCACACCGTCCCTAAAGGGTGAGTGGTGAGTGTTGCAACTGTGCCGAAACACCATCGGGTGTCAGCGCTAACCGATTCTCGTGTGTGTTGGTTCGCAGCCGGGCGGCGGGTCCACTACCAGTTCGTTAAGGCAATTCCGCAAAAAAGATGTAGACAGAAACCAACTGGAGCCCGGCAAGCAGATGGCCGAAAGTCACGTGGCCCGAGTCGCCCCCCACAACCACTTCCCCCTCATGTCCAACGATGCCTATCGCTTTTCATCGGCACACCAATTTTCAGGCCTAAAGTACGTAGCCGATCAAACTCTCCAAACTTTTCTCTTCTCTAAGCTAACCACTGCGATGGTCCTTTTATTTTAGCACCCAGATGAAATACTCAGACCATCTAGCTGAGGCATCGCAACCCAACCCTTTGTCAACGTCTGTGATACAAAAGCCTAAAACTAAGGATTACATGGAAATGTGCACGGTGCAGCAGCAGCAGCAGCAGCAGCAGCAGCAGCAGCAGCAGCAGCAGCAACAGCAGCATTTAAACAGCCAACAATATTCCCCCGAGAATGGCCAGTACATGCAAAAGGAGGCGATGCCGCAGGTGCGCAACCCCCCGCCACAGGGTTCGCCCACATTCAACGCCCACTCTTTCAGGGCTACCCGCCGATGTACAAGGAATCTCAGTTCTTCGCCAAGGAGCAGCAGCTGCAGTACCAGCAGATGGCGCAGCAGGCGGGGCCGCCCAAGTTCAGCGCCATGCTGAACCAGAACATGCGCAAGTACAGCCCCACCCCCGCCGACAACCCCTTCTTCAACAAGCTGAGCAAGCTGCATCCGTCCATGGCGCGCTCGATCATCAGCGACCACCATCTGCAGGACGCCCAGCCTGCTTATCCCCCCATGGAGCAGCGCGGGATTTATCCCCAACAGAACCATCGCTTCTACTCGGGTAAGTCCCGCGCATGTTTAGCCTCTTAAAACTCGTTGACACTGTCAAGGGCGGAGCCAAGGGGGTCATGGGGGTCATGCCCCCCCCCATTCAATTCTCTGTCCAACGGTGCCAAAACGAATTCTGTGCCTCGTATGGTTCTTAAGAAACTTCGAATAAAGCAGCGTCATGTTCAAGTGGATTTTGCAACTCAAAAAAAACCACGCAAATCTAAAACTTATCGAATTCAAGCATTTTTTGAGAAATTTGCCAACATTTCCCCATCCATGGTTCACTTTCTAAAAGGCCATTTATTTCTGTCTAGAATGATGTACAAATGAGCGTTCTTGCTCATTTTGCCTCCGAGAAATGAGCAAA